AAGAATATTATGTACATAGATAGCAAGTAAATATACTGCACTTATAATTTTAAATAATAATTAATATATTTTGTATTTTAATGAGCCAAAATGAAATTCTATAAAATTATTAAATTAAGCCATACAAATCAATTCCTTAAAATGCAAGATTGCACGATTTATTTGAGAATTTTAATATGTATTATGAGAGCAAATGATAGCATTGTAGTCTTATATAAATTCTGAAATTTCATTTTTTTAATTCGGATAGTGTAGCCATAAACTCAATTGCAATTTACTAGCTCTAGTTCTACCCTCGTATGATTAAAACTAGACTTTATAATTAAGCTTTTTTTAAATTAATAAACCACTAATGATTACATTTCACATACTATCAATATATGAGCGATCCTAAGTGAAAACCAAGAATTAAGATTTTACTGAAGTTTTTTTTTTTTTTTAACCTGCTGGCATGATCGCCACAGAACACCAATAGGTGTACGATTTATTAATTTTTAGTTAACAAATTGGTGCCTTCTATCTTTTTTTCACAAGGTTCTTGTTACCTCTTATAAGAAAGCGATAACTGTATAAAATTATAAACGAATGTCTCGTGTTCGTCTTGTACAACTAGGTAATGCGTAGCATTGTGTGTCCAAAGCCTAACACATGATGATCAGCATGCTACACAAACGCGAAATAAGCATATTAGTGTTACATTAAAATACAATTATAGACACGCGTGCGGACACACAAAAAATTTTCAAATTGTGTTTCTGATATTAATTTCATAATTTTATGTTTGTGCATCAAAAAGGTACCATTTTTTTGAGCCAAATGCATCAAAAATGTAACTTTTGTATCACATGCCGAATAATTTAGTGTCCTCCGCTTGCTCCGGACAATAAGTGTAATGCTAATAAATCAATATTAGTGTTGAAGAGGATTTGCAATTACGAAAAAGGCAAACAACTAAATGTATATGAAAATACAAGTAGATGTATAACAGTTTAATAAAACCTTGAGTTACTCATGTATGAAAACACGATTACTTATTATTAATAATTGAGTGGAAAGCAATAACTATTCACTATCGATTTGGAGGTATTCGAGGCTATTTACATATATTGTTACCTGTGGATCTTTGAAGCCAATAGCTATTCTATTTACTTAAGATAATACATTAGTTATGTAATGAATAAGAGAGATCAAAGAAATAAATCTAATATAAGATTTATAAAAATAAAGATATAATATGAATGCAATAAATGTAATAGATATTATTCATACAATGTTTCATTTAGACCAAAAAGATTATTTTTTTAAAAATTAAAAATTAAAAAGTTTGAAAATTTAAAAATTGAAAATTTTGAAAATTTGAAAATTGAAAATTTTTAAATTTAAAAAATTAAAAATTTTTAAACTTTAACAAGTTAGGTTTTCAAGCTATTGAAAAGCAGTTAATATGCTCAATTAATATCATCAAGAAGTTTATTAATAATATACAAGTTCTAAATTCAATAAAGAATTTTTATTTCTATTTCAATATAGAATGTTTTAAATTGATATAAATAAAAATATTTAAGAAAATAAAATTGATTATAATATGATTGTAAAGAAATAAAGTATTAGCTAATATATTTTATATTAATATCTTACTAATAATATTAGAGCTTGATCTTAAGAATTAGAAATTGATGTAATAAATATATTAATATTAATTCTCAATAACAATACAAATATTAACTTTCTTAAATTATAATAATAGTCTTAATTTTAAAAATACAATAGTATTAAATAATTAGAAAAATTATTAAATTATAAATAATTACAATTCTTTATTTGTATTTAATTAAATAATTTCAATTAAACATAATTTTATATAATTATTTTTTAATAATATAAAATTACATTTTATTTTTTCTTAAAAAAATACATATATAAAAATTTTTAAGAAAATTTTATTTTATATAATAAAAAAATATTCTCAAATATGATTTAAAAAATACTATAACATTTTTAAATATTATAATAATTATATTGGTTCTTTAAAAGAAGAAAATTTATCAAAAATCTATTTATATAAATATTATAATAATTAAATTAGCTTTAATTAAAAATTAATTTAGTTTAAAATTTAATAATAATTTAAAAAAATTTTAATAAAATGAGATTTTTATTTAATTTGTATTTTGATTATTAAAATAAATTATAATTTTATTTATTTTATAAAAATAATTTTTAAAATTTTAATTTTTTAAATAAAATTATATTCTTAGTTTTATATTATAAAACACTAATTAGTAAGCAAATAAATAGTTTTTTTTATTAAAAAGAGTTTTTTTAAATAATACTAAAAAAAATATTATAGCTTATTATTCTATAATTCAAATACTTAATATAATTTTTTATATTATTTATTAATAATATTAAATTATATTTTTATAAATATAAAAAATATAATATTTACTATATTTATAAAAATATAATTATTTAATTTAATATTTTCAAAAATATTTTTATGTTTTTAATAACTAAACTTTTGTTATTATTTTTTGAAATTATTCAGATAATATTAGTTATTTATTTGAATTATTTAGTATAAATTTGGTTATCTTTTATGTTTATTCATTTTCTTTTAAGATTTTTTCAGACTTTATTTATTTTTTAATTATCAACTTTATTCATATTATATTATATAAAGAACATATATATCAAGCAATATATTCTTAATTTTTTTATAAAGAATATATTCAAAATAATAAATATTCTCAAATTTATGTTTTCTAAGAATATGAGAACATTAAATTTTTTACACTAATTAATACTAGTATTACTTGCTGTTAATATTAATTACAATTTTTTTATTATAAATATTAGAATTATAATACTTGTAACTTTTTAAATATAAAATTTAATAATATATTATAATTATATAAATCTAATATATATTATAAATTATATTATGATATTTTATAAAATAAATAAATTGTAGTTAAATTTTAATAATATATAATAATCTTTGAAAAAATTTCTTCAATAACTGTTACTGATAAACTAACTTTTTTACAAATATTAAAAATAATTACTATATTCTTTATGAAAAGAAGCATTATCACCAATTTAAAATTTAAAAATTCATATTTTTTATAAAATTTGAAAATAAATAATTAAAATTTTTTTAAAAAAATAAAAATACAATAAAAAATGATCACAATATTTTATATTTTATTTGCAATATTAAGAATAAATTTGTTAATAAAACTAAAAAAAAAGTTTAGAATATATTTAGATTCTATAGACTAATGTTCCAAGTTAATAAAAACTTGCCAATTAATTGGTTGCAACTACAGTAAAACCGTTATAAGTGCATCTTCTATAAGTGCAAACGCTCTCTAAATATACACTTAAATGCAAACCCAAATATATACATTACTTCCACAAATACATTTCTTCTTATTGTTCTCTAAGTTTACATTGTTAAAAGTTTGATCTCAAGAGCGTGCACTTATGAAGGTTTTACTGTAGTCGATTTTTATATCATGTAACATTATCAGATGATTAACCAATCAGATCAAAAATACAGAATATCTCAGAATTGTACTGATCAAATGATTGATCGATTAGTTGTTTAAATTTGTTTCAAATTAATTAGTTAAAAAGTTAACAACTAATCGATTTTTCAACTAACGATTTGTAAATTTCCAATTTTATGAAATTTGCAACTCCGTTACCTCAAAATTTCTGCACTTCTATTACCAATTACCACTTTTAACGATGCATCTCGTGAATCAATCCGTTTAAATACTTGAAATACTATATCGTTATTAGTTAACAACATTCACAAACTTATTACACAAGAAATGCAAGTATAAACAAGTTTCTTACAAAAAGTTATTTTAATACCAAAATATTTTACTGGATTAAAAATTATTCTTGGCAAACAAATTAAGTGATTAAATTACTTGAGTAGTTTGTGTAAGTATTGATTTAGGATAAATTAAAAAAGTCAAGATATTCTTTTTTTCGCCAGTGATTATCATTACATAATTTTGACCAGATAACGTTTATTTATTTATTTTTATACAGATTCGTATTGATTATTATATAAAAATAGAAACTGTGCTGACAATTTTACAGTAATATTGTTTTCTGTTTCTGACATTTAGATAGTAATATAGATGGTATGTAAAATTTTTGATATTATATGACGAATAAGGGTTATAACACTAATCTCACCTAACTTAAAATTTGTACGTCTCTACTCTTTTACAAGCTAAATATTAGCTCACATGTTCCTGATACTTTCAGTTAAATTGGAAGCTAAATTGGTATAAAGTTTATAATTATAATCTAATTCTAATCGATAGGCGTTTTAATAGTGACATTTAAATCCTTTTATTAATGGTATTACGATCAACAAGAAAACTTAATTTACCGAATTTAGCGAAATTGAAGAAAAAGTAGAAACCATGAAAATTCTACTTATGGTAAATATGCAAGTAATGCTCAATGATGTATTAAAAAACATTGTTATACAATGAAAATTTCGTCAATTAGTGAGTTTCATGACAGCACACGTGTGAAATTAATTGGTGGAAGAAAATTTCCGGTTATTTTCAGTACGACAAAAAACAATACTAGGTATATGGTATTCTTAATGACATTTTAAACAGATGATGCCATTTTGTGACAAAAACATTCTAGTCAAACATAATACGTATCAGATTGTGAATAAAAATTTAAGTTAAAAATCGAATATTAGATCGATTAAACTTATTTGGCCAATGATGTCATGTGAAATACATAATACGTATCTGGTCAAATTGTAACATCGGCATATCAAATTTTGAGGTTTTGCTAATATATATTTTTTGCATGTAGTATTTTTGCATAAAATAATAATGGTATAATATTAATAATGGTATAATATTAAAATGTATTTACATAATTATAAAATTTATAGTATATATAATAATTCAAAAGCATAATAAATACAGCAAAAGAATAAAATTCTAAAATCAAGAATTCAAAGTTTTTTGGGCAAAACATCTTTGAATATAAGTGTAAGATTTATTCTCGTTTGCTTCCTTAACAAAGGTGTCCAACATATCATTATATTCTTCATAAGTTATACCCAAATATTCAGGAAGGTAAACAATACTTTGGAAAAATCTACGAACATTGGCAATTGACTACGAAAAAAAACAGATTAAAATAGGTTAAAATAGGTTAAAATAGGTTAAAATGAATGGTAATAGCATCAACTATCGGAAATTATTATTTTACTTACATATTTACCAAAACATCCAAACCATTCTCCTACGGGATATTCTACTTTAACACATTGTATATTTGTGAGCGTCTCATTTGACTCAAACATTTTTGGCAACGAAGTACTAATTCGAAGATTAACACCTTTTTCTTTCATGCAAGCTATACGAACTAAAATAAATAAAATATGATTAATTAATAATTTAAAATGATTAATATCTTTACATTAATATAAAGTAAAAATACACTGCAGTATATCAAGTACATTACTAACCGGCCTCATCTATGTATTTTGTAACTTTTCCACGATTTAGAAGTCGAGCAGTTGTTTCTAAAGATTCGACCCAACCATCATATTTTAAAACTCTGACAACATCATTGATCAGCTCAGACCATTGTAGCTCAGTAAATGCAGAAAACATCATGCCCAAATAAACAAAGTCAAAAGTTTCCATAGGAAATGGAATTCCATAAGTTACATTGGATGTAAGAAAACAGACGTTAGGAGGACATTTATCATTCGATGGAAAAAAGGAAGAATTTACATCAATTCCTATAAATGTTGAAGATGGATATTCTAATGCCATATCAATTATCCAATTACCAGAACCACATCTTTTAAGTTTAAAGAAATTAAATTTCGTATATAAAATTAAAATAAATAAATATATATATGATACATATGTTGGTGTGTGATTATAGTTGGCGGTAGAATTATTGAATTACGGCATTACGGCATTTTACCCAATTGTAGAATTAATTACGGCACAATACCTGATTGCCGTAAATATTATATGCCGTAATGCCCGTAATAAAATTGTCCCGTCAGATCCTCGATTTTGAATGGCTAACGGGCGTGGATCTGCTAAATTTTGACTGCATTACATAATTGTTTACTAATTTCTGGCCGGAATTAACTTTTTAACTTTTTTATTCCCAAAAATAGAAATTTCAAAATTAGTCCAGGAATAATTTCTCTTAATGGGTGGCTGTGATTTCATTAGTAAAATTTTGACCAAATTTTTTGATCGTCGCTCTTAGCTAATCAAATCGAGAATCTGCTGGGACAATTTTGTGTGCCAGGTTTTGTCGGCATTGTGCGTAACAAAATTAGTTAGTGTTTAAAATAAACTTAAAGACTGAATGATTATACAGTAAAATGGCTCAAGCAAAACTTTTTTTTTAGAGCACTAAAAGTGGTTCCGTATGCAATTTTTTACAAACCGAGCGTTTGTTACTGATCGTAGTATGTCACACCTGATTCTTGAATTGCTTTACGGAATTACGACATTACGGCAAATAATACAGTACGTGCTGTTGCCGTATTGATTTGCAAAATTAATTCTACCGCCAACTATATGTGTAATAAAAAATATATTTACCCAATATCAAGTACTTTAGCACCACCATTGTTCAACTTTTGTGCAATTGGAGAACGAAAGTTACCTTTCCAGATATGCTTACTTAGTATATGTGATAGAGATCCTCTATCAGCCTCCAACTTATCGGATGGTAAAGCATAATTTAAATCTTCAATATCAAAGTAATTTCTTCCATGTAGTGATTTATGTTTACTCAAAATTGGTGAACCAACTTCAACTATATCTTCATCTATACTTTTATCTTCATCTACGAATGCTAAAGGAAGTGTTAGTCGTTTTTCATTTGAATTGCCAGACACAACAGGATGAATTTTTGAGTTATCAGACTTCATTATATCTACAATAATAAATTAATTAATTAAGTATGTATTTTATCGTATGTATTTAACCTTTTTTTTTATTTTTCAGTATTTGCACACGTTTACTGTTATACGGAATTTCGGAATTTCAAGGGGCAAGAGACGAGTAATAATAAATATATACAAAACATAATCCGAACTGTATTTATGTTTTAAAGTTTCTTTATTCTCCAAGATATTTTTGACTAATTTTGTAATTGAATGTCGTACATATGAAATAAGATATAATTTGTTTTTATTCTTAGAAAGGGTAATAACTTCACGTTAATTAATGATATCAGTTAAATTAAAATATTTGTTACATGACTTATTATAACCTGAATAGATTACTTTGGACCACTATATTACATGACAGATTACTTTGGATCACTATATTACATAATAGATTACTTTGGACCACTATAATAATCGTATATTACATAACGTTTCTGCATTAATAGCTTATGAACAAAACGGTTTACAGTATTATCAAAGGTCATTACAACTAAAGTTAATGTTTGTGTTAATGAATTCTCATTTTGATTGATTTGGATCAAAAAAATAAACATCCATATGCATGTGAATGAAGGTTAATTAAGATATAAATGTGATTCTCTAAACTTTTATGGTCTTACTTAAATGGTTTCACAGTAGTACATCAATTCACTGATAATGTCATGGATAAAAAATGAATCAGTAATGGTTATCTTTTAAAAAAAATTCTACAAAGAATTATGATGAATAATTAAATTAACGAAAAAAAAATAAGGTTATAATATTTATCCAGTTAAATATTGAACAGAATGTTTTTCTTCGGTGCTATTGGTAACATACAGAATTTTTTATTAATAATCATGCATACGATCTGTCGACTGAAACTTGGAACTTTCTATGTACAGTAAAGTAAATAAAGTAAATAGTACAAATGGCTAAGCGCCAGTACTGATTAAATAAACTATATACTACATTAAATCTTTAAAAAAAGAAACACATTCTCTATCCAGTACATTGTACAAGGTTAATTAACAATTCTGAAAGTATCAGATATATATACAAGTATGTACTTTTAATAAAGTCGGAAAGTTCCGCAAAAAATATTAGAAATATTTGCAATGCAATCAAAAAAAATCAAAAAAAAAACTCAAAAAATTTAAATTATGCTATTCGAGTGGGATCAGTAGTGGTAATGTACGTAAATATGTACGTACAAGTATTGTAAATGAAATTTTAACTTAACATGCATTAGTATGTGTAACTGAATTCTTAATAAATGCAACAATTATTATTTTTTGTACCTACGTGCGTATATACATACATACCAAGACCAGTGTTATAAGTACGTGCATACGTACAGTACAGTACCAAAACCAGTGTTATAAGTACTGTACGAACGTGCGTGCTTATGTGTATATTTATGCTTATGGTTACGCATCTTTAATATGTAGTTAGTAAAGTAGTACTATACAAATATGTACGGACTCAGTTAACATAGGTTTGTAAATTTAATTTTTTTATGTCCATTATCCATTTGGCACAAGGATGTGACGAATCATTGGGCGTGGTTATTAAGCATTATTTATTACAATTTTTTAGCTAACGTTCACTCGCCACACCGATGATTCGGCATTGTTTTTTTTTCTTGTGAGGCTATAGGAAAATTAGCTTTGTTTCGAAAGAATTTTTTCTTTTACGAACCGTACCATACTAATTTACAATATCTCCATTTTTATCTGTGAAATGTTTTACGTACCTCAATAAACAATGCATGTGGAAGTGCAAAATCATGAAATCATATACCAAATAAACTCACTGTGTAACACCGCCATAAGGTGTCATAACGATAAGTATCGGTAAGGTATACAGTATCGGCAGATTATCAATGAAGGTAACCACGACTAAAGTACAGTATGATCGCTATACATACTTGTATTAAGTTCATCTTGTCAATTGATTAAGCTTACGTGATTTGTGCGTTTATTTAAAATTTTGACCCAATAATACACAAGAATTTTAAGTTTACTATATATGCTATGTTTGAATAGTAATGGGCAACTTGGACAAGTCAGCAATTTGTGAATTATACACATAAAATACTGGATGACCACTTTAATAAAATATTCCTTTAATGAATATTAATTGATTATACTATGCAAGATAGCAGCCTACATAGAATTTTTGATAATTTTTTTAGCATAATTTTAAATTTGTACAAGTATTGAAAAAAAAATGAAGCAATCCTAAAATAATCTAAATAAAAAATGAATGGACGTAAACCTTGAGCAATATTAAGACTAAAATACAAGCTTTTGTTAGCAACAAAATGGTGTAAAGAGAAGGATACTATAGAATCAGATAATTTTGAAAATATATTATGAATTCATAAATATCGAATGCAACAATAAATGCAACAGTACTGTATATATTAAACTTGAAATTAATATAACTATATTTGAAACCTATAGTTGTTAGGTTTACGAGTTCGTACAATTATTCAATCAAGTTTTATATCATATAATCCAAAAATCGGATGACAACATAAAAACTGAATCAGCTTCCATAGAGTATGGAATAAATAAAATAAAAATGTTACAAGTAGAAACGAAGTTAAGTGGATTTGGAATTTCCTAGCTAAATTAGGGTGTGTTCATATGATAAATCAACACCAAAATGCTATAAAATTCTGAATCCACTTAGATTCCATTTAAACTTACAACAAAAACACCTTCTACATACTTTCTACATACTTGGTAAAAAATTTATGTTACAACGTTTGTGAATCCAGTCGAACTTATTAGTCGCATCTTCTGAAAGCACAAAATCTACTTAAGAAAATATTCATTTATAGTCGAAATGGCCCAAACTGCCTTTGGAAATCAAAATAAGGTTTTCTAAGATATGGGTAAATTTCGGCTCGGAAATTGATTATCCGATAATTGTTAGCCAATAAAAACACCAAATTTCAGATAAGTTCAAACTCAAAAACTTAATTATTTTGATGGTAATTACGTTTCACCAAATAACTTCGTTATTTGGTGAAAACGTAATTATCATCAAAACAACTCGAGTCATTTCAATGGTCCAGTCGTAAGTTATCGGTTGATACCGTTATTTAATGCTACACTCCAATAACTTACTTATCTGGCTTTAAATTTAACGTGGCACGTTGGATTTAAAACCAGATAATGAGTATTTTTACAAATAACTACAGTCAGACCTCTCTATAGTCACACTTTATATAATCACACCTCTATATAGGCACCTAATTTTGGTAAACGAATTGTTGCAAAAAAATAAATAAAAAACCTCTATATAAGCACAACCTCTTTATAAGCACATTTCTAAAAAATGTTACTATCATCCCGACTATGTGATTATAGAGAGGGTTGACTGTATATTATCTCAAAATCATATACTGTACGTATATAAATATTATGTTGCATCTAAAGTAGCGCCTGGCTAAAATTAAACCCCAGAAATTAGATCTTCATGCATGCATTAATTTTTAACTCTAGCCTGGGCGTTATTTTAGATATATAAAGTAGCTACTTTAGATAAATCTCTACTTCAGATGCGACGAGTATACTGCAAAAATTGCATTTAAGTATATAAAATTAGCATACTACTCATAATATATTATATATAAAATAGTCTGGAAGAACACTATCGACTATGGCTGGAAGAACATAAAAATTAATTTGTCCGGTGTGCAGCATATAAAAAAAAACTACTTTACAATACTAGATCTGATTATAATTTTTATTATAATAAAATCGTGCTGGATTATAGTCATAACATGTACTAGCGGAATGTTCTGGTATTGTAAAATAATTTTTTTATATGTTGCACACCGGGTGAAGGATAAATCGTGTAACATCAACGGTCTCTGCTGTTCATTTGAAGGTCTAAAAAAGGGTTGTTGCTCAATTTCCCGAAGTCCATTTTTCAGAAATATCATTTCACTGAAATCGTAATTCTGAGAATCCATTTTACTAACAGGACAGAAATAGGCCAATGTTATTTCAATTAACAGACAAGTTTATTTCACTGACGTTTATTTCGCCGACCGTCATTTCACTAATAAAGTAATTCTGATCATTGTCATTAGGATCAGGTTTAGTATTAGAGTTAAGTTTAGTGCAATTTTTAACAAAATTTGTCAGTGAAATAATCCGGCAATAAAATAATTGTCAGTGAAATAAACTTATTGGTTAATTGATTTCTGTCTTGCTAGTAAAATGGATTTTCGATATTACGACTTCGGTTAAATGGTATTTCACAAAAATGGATTTCAAGAAGTTAAACCGGAACAATAATAAAGGCATCGTCGAAAGAATGTAAATTACGCTGTTGATTATCATCATTTAGAGGTCTAAAAAGAGCATCTTTTTGATTATCGGCTGTGATCTGGAAGAACATAAATTAATTGTTATTCAATAGGCCTGATTCTAAAGAAAAACTTGAAACCCGTTATAATAAACTTTCGCTGTAACCAAATTTATAAACGATTCTCTCTTCAATCATGAACCAAATTAACACAAATAAATAATTAAACCGAAGCCATAAAATATTATAGAGTTCTAAAAATATACTCACGAGTTAAATACCGAAAATAACCAGTACCCAAATACAGCTCACCTTTGTTAGAATGAACTCTTGATATAATAGACTTAATTATATAATATTTTCGAGCCTATAGGTGTAATGGGAACTTCACTATAGCGTGAATATGTTGTTTTCTTGTATTTTCACATATGAGCCACCTTTATTTTTTGTCGGCATATGAATAACAACACATGTGTACAGTTAACTTTCGTATAATGAACTGACAGTTCTTGTAATAAAATTTTTTATGTTCCTTATAGAAGTAGTTTACTATTTCCGATGCCGGTCTCTAATAAATATTTTTTAAAAAAGTTTATTATACTGTTATAGGGCATAAATAAGTTCATTATAAAAAGTTTCGTTGCAAGAATAACTTTATTGGCCCATCAAATAAAACCAGGTAGCATAGATGCATTCATTATAAAAAGTTTCGTTGCAAGAATAGCTTCATTGGCTCATCAAAATAAACCAGGTAGTCGGATTAGCATGTAACTGTACCCTCAATTATCGATTTACTGACCCGATTTTATAAGTTTTAAAGCCTGAAGTCTAGTTTTCTCTAATATCATATTTGCATAGATTTTAATATTATACACGATATATTACTTTATACTCAGTTGTACTCATGTGTTTGCTAATTTCATGTATTACAATTAACTACTTTACTAAACCATACGCCACTACTATTCGTATTACACATATATATAGGCTAGGTGCAGTAAAAAAGGGTCGAAAATGACAAAAAAAATTATCAAAAAATCAATTTAACCCTCTTTTATATTTCTTTACCGCGTGCACTTATTTGTGCGAGTGATACAAATCTAAATTAGGAATTGATACAATTGATTGGCTGATAATTATCATGTGAATACGGACTGTTCGGACCAGCTACCTAATCCGAATCGGCTCAATGATAGATTACGGTGCCCGGAAAATGTACCGTTGATTATCAAATCACCTGAACTTAGAAATTACCGAAATACCGAAGATCGTACAACCAAATAAATAATACTACGGATTAACTATCGTAACACTAAACGATACGCGAAAATATTAAAATTACAAATTAGCTTGGGAATATAATTTATTAAACAATAGTTAAATACAATAGCTTATTTTATTACAATAGCTTAACTTTATATTATTCGAAAATGTATAACGATAAAACATATTTAAACTATTCGATTTTA